TCTAAATAGATCATAGACAGTCTGTTAAAATGGGAATGAAAATGTTAGTACAGTGTAGTAGTTACAAAAAAATATTCAGGAACTAGTGGAATACCTAAAATAATTCGGGACCCAACTACTATAGTACCTGCGATTAGCCCCTAGTACTCGGGACCTAACTCGAATGCGCCGAAAATAATTGATTGTTATTGATAAAAAAAAAAACCATTAGATAACTATATAAGACCTAGATTTTACGGAAAATTCAATATCTAAATTTTTGAATGTTATAACTTATAAGTTTATAACTTTAAGTTTTATGTAATTATATATTTATATCATATTGATTGACAGATTACTTACCATGCTCTGTTGATCCAGCTATGCAATTTACCCCATGTACGACTAATGAAAGCGGATGAAGAACTGCAATGTTTTTGTTTGGCGAACAGCTGACAATAAATATACCATAATTAATACCCATAATATTCATTAATGATAACTTATTATAAAGCAAATATTTCATAATGTTTTTCTTTAATACTTAAATATTGTTGTCTACCTGTATGATATGCAATAAATCGATTAGGTATCCTACCAAATATGTTCTAAAAAGGGTTTACTTTTAGTATTATGACATAAATTCCATACTTAATCCATGAACGCGAAAATAGAAATTTATTTATTAAAGCCCAATTGAAAAATCAGTACATTTTGACAAATATTCTTAATGAGTTAAAARGCTGTTTTAAACTCTGTCTCTAGCATTCAAAATATATTTCTTACACAAAAAGTTTTGAGTATATAATAATAACATTTTTGTGACTTTTTGCCTTTAATTATGATTGAATTAAAATGTGTAACATACAAATTAAATATAACAAATTACCATGAAATAATTATAATTTTACTTTAAAAATGAATACCTCATTAAAATAGCTTTTCTTGACTACTTATTCGACTAATACCGATCTCGTAATACTCAAAACTACAACCATCAAGCTAGGTATAACCTCAATAATTTCCCTATCTCTGCTTCCAAATATATTCGGCACCTTGCGATCACGTTATCTAAGGTTTCTATCATGACCGCCAACGGTGTCAACCACTTGTTCAAAAATAGTCTTTTGCTTGTACTCCTTAGAAATTAGTCTTTTAGTTTAAAAAAATACAATTACACCGGTACACGMAAAATTAAAATTAGATTAAAAACACAATATTTTCCATTATGTAACTGCTATAAGTGGACCCGTCATACACTGTAATAATTTAGATTTTATACAACCTGTACATAAAAAAAAAAAGTACAATAAGCATAAATGATGTTATTTAAGTAATAATATATTTGAAAGTAAATAAACAATGTAATAATTTTCGAAAAATACGATGTAATATTATATTGCGTTATAGGTACATGTTTTTTTCTATTATTCAATCCCGCTAAACCCTGTTTGATATTATACTTTAAACTTTAAACTACATTTTCAAACGTCAGCGAAATAACAAATATTTAACTTTTGCCCTATCAGTTGTAAAGTTTTTATTTGACAGTTGCTGAGAGATAATTAAATCCCCGCCGGACCTTCA